TTAGAAGGGATGTATTGTACAATATTCTAATAGAGTTTGGGATACCCATGAAACTGGTTAGGTTGATTAAAATGTGTTTAAACGAAATGTATAGTAAAGTCCATGTAGGTAAACATTTGTCTGATACATTTCCTATCCAGAATGGTCTAAAACAAGGAGATGATTTATCGCCACTTCTTTTCAACTTTGCTTTAGAATATGCCATTAGGAAGGTCCAAGGAAACCAGGTGGGACTGAAATTAAATGGAACACATCAGCTGTTGGCGTATGCCGATGATGTGAATCTGCTGGGTTATAATGTAGATACCATAAAGAAAAACACACAAACTTTAATTGGTACAAGTAAAGAGGTTGGTCTAGAAGTAAACACTGAGAAAACTAAGTATATGTTGCTGTCTTGTCACCAAAATGCATGACAAAACCAGGACATTAAGATAGGTAACAGATGTTTTGAAAATGTGGTACAGTTCAGATATTTGGGAACAACTATAACAAATCAAAACCTGATTCAGAAGGAAATTAAGGGGAGATTGAACTCGGGTAATGCTTGCTACCATTCAGTCCCGAACCTTTTGCCTTCTCATCTGCTGTCCGAAAACATAAAAATTATAACATACAGAACTAAGTTTTGCCTGTGGTTCTGTATGGGTGTGAAACTTGGTCTCTGACATTAATGGAGGAACACAGACTGAGGGTGTTTCAGAATATGGTGTTGAGGATATTGGTGGGAAAGCCAGATGGGAGGAGACTACTGGGAAGACCAAGGCGTAAGTTTGTGGACAATATTAAAATGGATCTTAGAGAGACAGGATGGAATGATATGGATTGGATTGATCTGGCTCAGGATAGGGACCAGTGAAGGGTAATAAACCTTCAGGTTCCATAAAATGCTAGGAAGTTCTTAAGTAGCTGCACAATTGGCAGCTTCTCAAGAAAGGCCCAGCTTCATGAGTGAAAGTGATTAGCATTTAGTATATTTAACATTTTTAAAAGAAAAAAATAATTGGAATGCTATAAAAATATTCACTGACCAGTGACCATATGCCATTACAAATGATTATAAGTCTCACTAATTTACACACATTGCAGATCACTACAACAGACACTAAGTCTTCTCAGTGTTACACTAACTGTTGCTAGGTTATGGCTCCAAACCATTAGAATGCCAACCCAGTTTGGACTTTTCTCCCATTTGGATCCCCATTATCAGCAATGAAGTCACCAATTCACATAGAAGATTTGTATGACGTGATATATGTTTTTATTGATTTCTGTTAGGTTCTAAATTAGATAGACGTGATTTACTCCATTGTTGAAGCTAGTTAGACACTATTAGTTTTTTTTTACTAGTTCTTCTTTCTATTCCATGACGTGGAGTCATGGACCTGGTCCGTGTTTTTCTTATTTATCTTAAAAACCAGGAGGATGGATAAAGTCTGAAAAGCCAATATCTGTAGATTCTTCAACTTTAGTACTTATGTTCTTACTGGCTTGTGGTTGTCTTGCAACTAAATCATACTGCAAGTCATGGAATTGCTGGTAGTCATCACTCTCTACTCATTGGCTGGCTGTTACTACTTATCATTGCAACTAACTCTCAACCGGTGGCGTGGGGTACTATTTTTGGTGAGGGAAGCAGTGGTATCTAATAAACAAACTGATAGCAATCAACTCACCAAAATTTACGTCACTTATTGAGTCAGTAAGGTCGTTTTGTGTTCTGTTTGACAAACCTGTAAATATTGTAGTGTTCTCTAGGTGAACATTGAGTTTATGATCATATTTCTTCAACAAGTGAACTAATTCCACATAATTACCTCGGTCAATAGAATCCACACTTTCGTCATGACCACAGAGAGTTGCCACTTTCCTAAATGGCAGATAATATCAATCAAGCGTTTCATTATTTCTATATTTTCTTTCACGTTTTCATTCTGCTATAGTATCATCAAGTTGGCAGTCAGTTCGAGATTTCCCGAACATAAGTTGCGCTGTTGATATAATGTGAGTCTGAGAGTTCTCATTTCGTTTCAGTGCTTCATGAAGGTTGCTGATATCACCAAATCCAGTCTTGTTCCATACATTTTTTTTCATTGAGAAACAATAGGCATGGCCAACAAAACAATTTTCCTATATTACGGCAACCGGATAGCCACCATGTTTTAGAATACTGTTCCAAATTAAATTTCCTCACACATAATTTGGTTTGTGCTTTAAGTTCTGTCAACTCTCATGTTGGTCGTCCTCTTTCTATAATTATTTTCTTTTCGGAAAAGTCACTGCTGTTAAACACCCATTTTAAAAGGCTTTCGATTGCACAGTCGCAGTTGCATTGTCTGCCAGCATTCATTTTAGCTGTGACCTGTGTGTGTAGTCTGTTCACGATCCTGTCCCTCTTACTGCAATAACAGACTTGCTGCCCTTAAACGCGGATGGCTTCTTTCTGATACGTCAAAATACGATCACAAATACAATCTTACGCTATATGAATATGCACTTACAATATTTTAATAAAACTTAATGTTACCTATAACAACCAACAAGACTGAAATCACACATAAACAGTTAATTTTCACATAACCATCTAAACAACTCATTCCTTTGCTTGTGTAGCCAGCAAACCGAAATTTGCTTCCCTTGGTGACGAATTATTACGAAGATTAATGAAGGTCCGTCCCACCAGGCAAGGGAAGGGATGAGGAGGAGGCATGTGGCCATGAGTGTGAACATGCACTAAATGACAATATTTACATCCTTATTATTCAAATTGAATTATTTATATATGGCTTCTTTTCTTTTCGTTTCTTAACTATGGAATCAATGCTTCCCTTGCTTCCATGCACGGCATGCCACTGCTCTCAACTAACTGCTAACCAGATTGTGTCCTC